AGATTATTGTATTTATTTCAAACAATCCCAATAAAATTAGAGAATTTTTTTTTTAAAGAATTGGATAAAATAATAAATAAATTTATTTGGGCGGGCAAAAAACCTAGGATAAATATTAAAACATTACAAGATAGTAAGAGTAGAGGGGGTCTTGGACTCCCTAAATGGGAAATCTATTATTATGCGGCAGGATTGTTATTGATCAAAGATTGGATAAACTTGGATAATGAAAGGATATTAATGATTGAAGGACATGATCTACAGGCGGGTTGGCATGCATTTTTATGGGCGAACCAGAAGAAAACATCAACATATTTCCAGCAGCATCAGATAAGAGGAGCATTGATTGGGATATGGGAAAAAATAAAAAAAAGACACTATGGGAAAATTCCAAATTGGTTCTCGCCGATGGAGGCAGTGATTCATCCAAATACATTAGAGAAAAAAAAGATGTTTAGGTATAAAGAATTACTGGATAACCGAGGAAATCTCAAGTCAAGAGAAGAATTGGAGGAACAAAGAATACTCATAGATTGGTGGCCGTATTTACAAATTCAGTCTAGACATAACAGGGATAGGCAAGAACATGGAATTAGTCAGACTCCACACCAACTTGATAAAATTCTAATAAGGAAGGAAAGCTATTATCAAAAATTTATAAATACCTATTAGAGATAGAGTTAGAAGAAGAAATAGTGAAGGGGCCAATGATAGTGTGGGCACAAAATGTGGGGCGAAATATAAATTTAGAGGAATGGGAAAGATTATGGAACAGAAATTGCAAATTGACACTATCAACTGCATATAGAGAGAATCAATATAAAATGATTTACAGATGGCATTTAACACCGGCGAGATTGGCCAAAATGTATAAAAACATAGACCCGAAGTATTGAAAATGTAAAATTAAAGAAGGAACATTTTATCACATGTGGTGGCTGTGCCCCAAAGTAAAAAATTATTGGGAATGGATAAGAGATTGGATATAGGAGATAACTGAGATACAAATGGATTTCAAACCAGAAATATTTCTTTTGGGCATAATAAATTTAAAGATGGAAAAACAACTCCAACACATCATTATACACATATTGACTGCAGCTCGTATAGCATATGCGCAATGTTGGAAGAGTGAAAATATCCCCACAAATGATATGATTATGTATAAAATTTTGGAATGCGCAGAAATGAACAAACTTACGTTAGAATTAAAAGACAAGGAGACGTCAGAATTTTATGAAATTTGGAATAAATGTTATAATTGGCTAGAACAGAGAAAGAAAAAGACATAATTATTGATGTACATAAAATGTAAATAAGATGTAAAGAATATTTAAAATG